AATTTTTGCTTTTTGTCTACACTACTCTACTACTAATTATCTAGAGGAATTCCCCCACCCCAAACTTAAAGAAGTGCAGTGTCGCCAATGCACAAATAAAGAAAAATATAACGAGGGTGGCCAATAAAATTGCCTGAAAGGCAAAGGTCGAAACAATAGCTGCTCACGGGGTACTTAGACTTCCCCATGCATGGTCCTTTATACGGGTACTCCACACTTAGTTCCAACCAACTGGCTCACTTTTGCACTCTTCCAATAGTTTTTCTTCCTATGCTTATAATCCTACAAAATAAAAACAGACACTACAAAAATAATACAATAAAAATAAAAGAAAGTAGTAAAGCTGGGTTGCCTCCCAACAAGCGCCTAATTTAAAGTCGCGGCACGACTTGAACCACTTTTTGCCTCTTCCTTGAATTTATGAATTGTACCTATAACAGGGCATCCAGTCTGTGGCTACGATCCTTTGGTGGGGATACAAAGATAACCAGACCAAGCAATAAAATTTTCACTCTACACTTCTCGGCTTTTAGATGAGGAATGTAATTTTTGCTTTTTGTCTACACTACTCTACTACTAATTATCTATAGGAATTCTTTCACCCCAAACTTAGAGGAGTACAGTGTCCCCAATGTACAAATAAATCAAAATATAATGAGGGTGGCCAAAAAAACTCCCTGAAAGACCAAAGGCCAAAGTAATAGCGGCTCACGGGATACTCAGACTTCCCCCATGCATTGTCCTTTATGCGAGCACCTCACACTTAGTTCCAACCAACTGGTTCACTTTTTCATTCTTCCAATAGCTTTGTTTCCTATGCTTATAATCCTACAAAATAAAAGCAAGCACTACAAAAATAATACAATAAAAATAAAAAAAGCAGTAGAGCTGGGTTACCTCCCAACAAGCGCCTAATTTAAAGTCGTGGCACGTCTTGAATCACTTTTTGCCTCTTCCTTGAATTTATGAATTGTACTTATAACAGGGCATCCAATCTGTAGCTATGCTCCTTTGGTGGGGATACAAAGATAACCAGACCATGCAATAAAATTTTCACTCTACACTTCTCGGCTTTTAAATGAGGAATGTAATTTTTGCTTTTTGTCTACACTACTCTACTACTAATTATCTATAGGAATTCTTCCACCCCAAACTTAAAGGAGCACAGTGTCCCCAATATACAAATAAATCAAAATATAACGAGGGTGGCCAAAAAACTCCCTGAAAGACCAAAGGCCAAAGCAATAGTGGCTCACGGGGTACTCAGACTTCCCCCCATGCATGGTCCTTTGTGCGAGCACCCCACACTTAGTTCCAACCAACTGGCTTACTTTTGCACTCTTCCAATAGCTTTGCTTCTTATGTTTATAATCCTACAAAATAAAAACAAACACTACAAAAATAATACAATAAAAATAAAAGAAAGAAGTAAAGCTGGGTTGCCTCCCAACAAACGCTTAATTTAAAGTCGCAGCATGACTTGAACCACTTTTTGCCTCTTCCTTGAACTTATGATTTGTACCCATAACAGGGCATCCAGTCTGTGGCTATGCTCTTTTGGTGGGGATACAAAGATAACCAGGCCAAGCAATAACATTTCACTCTACACTTCTCGGCTTTTAGATGAGGAATGTAATTTTTGCTTTTTGGCACAACAAAATTCAAGAATATAGGCACTTTCATCCTCACTCTTTAACTCCCCCATAGACTCAGATGACTCGATTGATATCTTACTATCTAAACATAATGTGGAAAAATAATTCGAATGAGGTCTAATGCGCCCTAAATCATAAATTTTACTACTATTTACATTCCCATTTATATACACACTCAATTCTCCAAAAGTAATGTTATCTACTCCCTCACATGACTCTAGAGCATTCTTCTCAACATTGGCATCCTCAAGAAAAATATGGTCTAATGATTGGTATTCTCGTTTTAGCTCCTCAGTTTGGTCTAGAAGATTTTTTTCAGCTTCACACAACTCATCATTAAATTTGTAGGCATTACACATATCAACCTTTGCACTCAAATATGCATTTAAGTTATGAACAGCCAAGCCAAAATTATCAATTTTATGTGCGATCTCATCTCTCTCCTTAGACCAATCACTCACCAACATCGTTAGAAGACAACGTCGTTTCATATATTCCTTTAATCGAGAATATCCGTCCCAATACTAGCCCTTACTCCCATATTCAAATTCAGATCTCCAAGAAGTTAGGCCATGACAAGACCAAAAATACGAGCTATAAAATTCTTCCGTCAACCAAGCGTCTTCATCAATAGTCTTACCTCCGTATATTTTATCCCCAGATATCATGCTGAGAGAACTAGAAACACACTAAGAGAAAAATAGTAAATATTTATAAAAATAAAAATATATACAAAAAATTGGATAAATTTAAAAGTCTAATCTAGAAAAATAGCTAATATCTACGTCCCCGGCAACAGAGCTAAAAATTTGTTGCGGCCAAATGCATACGCACGTATACTCGGTCGTCAAGTAATAAAGTGATTAAAAGTCAGATATCGAACCCACGAGAACTTGTGATTAACTATTAACTAAATTAGATTATCTTAACTATCTAAACAAGAATTAAAACTAGAAGTATTTGATTCTACACTAATTAAAATAAATAAAAACAAATAATGAACTTTGAACAGAGGAAGAACATATTTTTATGTCATCAATATTATGAAAACGATCTAGGGTTATGGGGTATCTAACATTCCTATTGTATTCTTCAATTGAATTGACTAACTAATTTATATAGTTTATTGGTTAACAGGGTTAATATTACTCATAAGAATCTCTCGAGTTCTTACTCGCCTATTCAAGCTAACCTAACGCATATATGTCTATGGAGTTAGAATCAACAAGAACGCATTTATAATTCCCGTAAATCAATCAAGCAAGGTAATTAGGTATATATCTATCCCAACCGTGAATCCGTTCCCCGATGCCCAGGTTCAAGAACTTGCTCAACTCAATCCTATATGCAATCTAGAGTTTCCACTTTCGAGTTTGACTCTAGAGTCGTAGATAGTATTTAATTGTTGATCAAGCAATCAAATAATTAAGCGCAGGATTGAATAAATAAACTAATACGACAAACTAAGAGATCAAAATCAATATCTAAATAACAATAGTCATGAAAGAACCACAATCCTAGAATGGAAAGTTTAGCTCCACATAGACATTGTAGCCAAACAACAAATCATACAAAGAAATATAAAAATTACTAAGTTTGGTGGAAGAACGATAGAATCTGATGAATTTCGGCCTCCACGACGGCTATGTGCTTGTGTTTTCCTCTAAAAACGGTCCCCCTCCCCCCTTAAAATAGGTTTAGGTTGGCTTTTATATGAGTTGGGTGCGTCTTGGGATCGAAATAACCGAGTCCTAGTCGAAATAGGACATGTTACATTTTGAGCGTCCAGGACAGTGTGGGGCGCTGGCCCTGGCGCTCAACTTTTCAGCATTCTGTTTTGAGCGCCACAGGTAACGCCCCATGCTGCCTGTGGCCCTCAAATGTGCACCTTTGCCTTTTCTTTTCATTTTCGCTCCAATTCGTGCGCTTTTGTCCCAAATCACATCCGAATGATTCCTACACATTGAAATATCACAAATTAGCACAAATCATTATATTATACATCCGTAATCTATTAGACATGAGCAGTGAGGTAATATACTTACGTTACGTTGGAATATGTAAATATGAAAGGAACCTCGCATTCCCTTTTTCGTTATTAAAAACATTATGGCACGTAATATTTAACAAGAGAAATTCTGATTGGTAATTTTGTTCTCTAGGCTTATAGTGATCACAGTCACGTCTTCTACATATATATGTGAAAGGTTGAATAGTAAACGTATAAGTTTATAAGTATGAGGTTTTGCTTCATTGGCTTATCAAAAGATTGCAAACTTCAAATACGTATCGTATGAGAGTCAAGTACTTGAGATGGATAAATAATTATGTGGTTGAAGTTTATTCATTTACTGAAGTTATTAATTTTAGGAATAACTTTTTTACTATCACCTTTTCTTTATTATTCAAAAGAATAGGGGTAGCATATGTTCTTGTGTACTTTGATAATTGGCCAAGTCAACCTTTGAGAAGCCAATCACCATACACAATTGTGGTATGAATAAAGAGAGTATCCTACTATTTATATATATGTTCAGCAAAAAGTCAATTTGAAATCCATTCTAAGATTAAGAATAGTTTATTAATTAGATTACAACCTGTAACTTTTTCTCGAACTTTTGCTCGATTTTTTTTGTTTTTTTGTGCAGATTAGAATCCATTGATAACTGATAATTGGAAAATCTTAGTAGCTCGGTCAATAGATTAACTAAACTTTTACCTTGTTGGCGAGGATTCGATTCTTCCTCTATGGTCCCCTCACCATTTTCCTTTTCCCTGCCCTAAATTCAAAAAAAAAAAACAAAAAAAAAAAAACATAGTCGATAAAAAGGCATTTCAGAAAAAGGTTTGAAAGTGGAAGATAAATACTAAGCAATGGAAAGGATTTGATACTTAATGCCGTGTGAGAATACTATTATTCATCTTTAATCTTTATTAATTATTAATTCCCACGCAATCTCTAACTAGCAAGGAGCGGTTCTAGTTTTATGCATTCAACTTTCGGCAACTTATAGTCTATCCTTAATTAGTTTTTCTTTTCTCGGGTTTTATCATTCAGTATTCAAAATTAATTGATTCGACCATTAATCCATATATAGTCACACTGAATAAGTCCATTAATTAGGATAATTAAAGCACTCCTTCCAAAAAGTTTTTCCTTCTCAAATCCGAGACGACCTTTAGTTAAGATTGAAGGAATCCAAACTATCTCTCCCCAATATTTTTAGTACGCATATTCTTATTAGCTAAATGCCCCAACCGTATGTCTTACTTCTGATTTGATTCCCTCTCCTTTCGGCGAGCGCAGCTGTAAATTGTAATTGTGGTAGTCAAAAAATAATTAATGTGATGTCCTATCCCTATATATAGCTGCTTATTATAAGCCAAATTATAGCGCACTCAAATCTCTACATTCCTTGTAATTTCGTGAGTTCGACTTATCAAATGGCTTCAAAACCTCACTATGAAGGCAATCACACATTCTATAAAAATGAAAAGGTGCACAAAATTTCATGCATTTCTTCAATTACTTACTTCTTGCATCATACTACTGCTCGAGTTAATTCATGTTTTTTTATTTATTTAATTAAGAGCTTTTGTAAATTGTGAAAATCCGAAGCAGAAAGGAAAGAAGTCATCATTTAAAAAAAAATAAAAATCCCATCCCCTCTGCCTCTCAGTCTCTCTTTCACTGGGAATTTATGAAAATATTGACAACTGTTATTTTCGTTACTTACAGTTACAGGGGTATATAATTTATCCCAAAGCTCTTAATATTGTTTGGGGAAACGATAAGCGCTTTTGGAAAATACCCAAATACGAGTAAGAATTTTGCACTTTATAGCCGTTTTCGTTTCTGCCAAAATATTATTTTGTAGTATCAGCTAATAACAAAATCATTCATTATATTTGAACAGAAAGGAGGATGCAGAGCTTATTCAAGTAAATTGGCTAGAGGTAACTGGTTGGATTGACAATGTATTAGAGAAGAAAACATACGACGTCGGTTTTACGGTGTCATTGATGCCTGATGCGTTTGGTTGGAGAGATTCACCAGTCTATATTATGGCTAAATGGGGAGACAACACTCAATGGAGAAAAGTGAATTTGACAACTGAGAATGACATTAATGGCAAAAAGATGATACCAAAAACTCTTACTATAACATAAGGAAATGGAGATGCTGATAAGCTGTATTTTGGTTTGTATGAAGTTTGGAGCAAAAGGTGGAAAGGAGGTTTGAAAATTCATTGCGTAAACTTGACTGAGAGAAGCTAAGCCGATGAAGTGAGGGAGCCAGGATGCGGGTTCGGTAGAACGCACTAGCTTTTGTTCAAATCATGCCTTTATTTTAAGAAATTCATTGAATATTTGTATAAAATATTAATTTAGAACTCAATAACTTAAAAAAATAACAATTCCGAACCCATAAGATTCAAATCCTGACTCCACCTCTGGGGCGGAGGGGAATATAATCTCAAGTTAAAAGTCTCGTTCTTCTTACTTCATGTATTTTTAGAGTGTGTTTTCTTGCATATATTTGTAATATTGCTTGCATGAATGAAACTATATGATTCACAATCATATATCCTTTTATATTTACAATTTTATTGGCGTGTGACATACACTTAATTAAAAAAGTGATCAAATATAAAAGCGATCAAATATAAAAGCGATGTGTATTAGATATATCTAGAAAATATTTCCTGTGTTCGAGAAGTGCGAAAAAGGAATTTTGACCTCAAACTCGGAAGGCAAACTATGTATTCTCCCGTAACTTAATGATAACTTAGAGTTGAAGAATATTTAACTCTCCAAATAGTAGATAAATATATTTTGTATTTTGTTTTCATGGACGTTATATTATTAGGGGTCGTTTGGTAAGAGATATAAGAAGGTATAGTGTTTGTATAAAAATTTAATACCATCTTAATATTTTAGGATTAAAATTAACATCGGGATAACTTATACTTTATAGAGGGTTGGGATAATTAGCACCGACATAACTTATACATTCTTCTTACAAATTATGCAATTGTCATATTTAATACAACATATCAAACAATGGATAAAAAAACAATCCAAGCATAACTAATCCCAACATAACTTATCCCAGCATAACTTATACCAGTATAACTTATCCCAGCATAAGTCGTATTCAAACCAAACGACCCCTTAGTGTTCTCTAAATCGAGACATCATCCAAACCGGTGCTTGGTCCATTTATTCGTTAACCAATCATCATACTGTTTGCAACAAATTTATGCAGACAAAATTAAAACTGCAATCACAAACAACTATAAAGAAAAAATAATTTTATTGATAAATATTGTAGGCTACAACTCCGTTTATCCCTTGATTTTTCGCTCAAGACATATTTGACATATCTTTGATCTCTATATTCTAAGAATTTTATGGAATTTAGGAGATCTCATATTTGATCTCTTTGTGCATATTTCGAGAGTTTATGTAATTGCTGAGATGTCTCTTCAAAAGAATATGTATTCCTTTATATAGGCGTGCATTAGGGTTTAGGGTAAAGCAACCTCCAAGAAATCCTGATAAACTCTTAGGATTTCAAGAGTCATGTAGTATCTTGAATTTAGAATTTAGCTTGATCCGTTAAAATTTGGATGTATACGCATACTTTATGGAGTAATATTTATGCCTTAAAATTCGTTGACCAATCACCATACTTTGTAAAAGGAACTTCGCATTCTCTTTTTCATTATCAAAAAGCATTACTTTGAATACAATATTAAATAAGAGGAATTTTGACTCTTTGGTAATTTAATTAGATGCTCTATCGTGTCGAGTTTTTTAATCCGATCCTTCTAGATCTACTCAATTTTAGGTTAGATTATCTGAGCCTTTATACTACTAATAATAAATAAACAGAACATAAAATGAAATTGTATAACTGAATAAATTTGACTCTTTAAATAGTAGACATGTAGATAAATTTTTTCTTTTGTTTTTCTCCTACTATCTTTATTTGAATTTTGGTATTTTCTTCCCGAACGGTAGAACTAAGAAGTCTATTAAAAAATCGAATTAATAACTTTTACCTCAAATTTCAAGTGAATGAGATCCGCGAGTGGCTTTAATTGGAGATGAAGTTGTACGTGTTTACGAATCGAACGAGATTCAAGCTCATGGAACGAGATTCTTGGCTTATGTAAAATTTATCTAACACCATTCTTTCACATTGTAATTGTTTGACCAAGAGATGTTAAACCCTTTGACTAAACCAATCTCATGGTTAAAAGAAGGATGAATCTTAGCTAGGAATAATAAAATCTAGATCAAGTGATAAAAGAAATAAGCAAGATGAATGATGGTAGCTAATATGTTGGAATCAATATAGTGCCGGCGCAGGAAGGAAATAAGTATGAGATGATTATGGAATCTTTGGATCTTATCAATATCGTATAATGATATATGCTTGGGTTGCGTAATCGATGAACAAGGCTACTCTTATATTTACTCTCAGATGAATCTTTTACAAAGTGTTCTTTTGTCTTTTTTTTGAATCCCTCCCTTTTCTTTACTAACTCTTCCTATGAGGGACAATCCCTCATAAAACCCTAAAAAGTACAATCATAAAGAATATTCGAAAAGCATCTTGTTAATGTCTCCTACTAAGTTTACACTGCCGTTGACATCTTATTTCGACTGACCGCTCTTGGTCGTCATCCTTCACCACGACGACCATCAGACGTTCCGTCGTGATAACCTCGTTCCTCATCCTATTCGGTGACTGTCGCAATTGCCAAATTTGGACTCATACAGTTAGTCCCTCCGCTTGTTGAGGTCGTGGCCATGTACATCCTCGATAAGCGAACATCGTCTATACCCGTGGAGGAAGTTGGCCATTTGAATTAGACCGATTTGACCAGTAAAGAAAGAGCGGTGCGTTCCACGGTATCCTGGATGGTACAGCTTATCGGGAAGTGACGTTACTCCCACGTGCGCCATCATTGTGCATCTTCCCGAGACAAAGATGGATTTCTTGTCGCTTTGGTTTTGGTGCCATGGGCAACTTTCTGCTTCGATTCTAGCGCCACCCAACCGTATAAATAGGTGAATGTTTTGTTTTTTCAACAACTTTTAGCTATTTCTTCTCTTGTGTATGTATTGTCTTCTTCGGTCATTTCTCCTTGGGTCTTCAGCTTTGCTTTCGTGATTTCTCCTCTCATCTTTTTTGTTCATCATTCTTTGCTTTAAGTCTTAACCACATACCTTCTACCATCAAGATGCCCAGAACACATCGGTCACACGAAGAGATTTCTGATGCCACCCCGTTATCCATGGCACCTCCTTCTGGTGGTGAGGATATGGCGGCGGAGGAGGGGGACAGTTTTCCCACCGTGGAAGAGATACCTCCGAGAAACCCTAAGTCTCAGAATGATTTTCACAAAGAACCTGCCTCTTCCCCCGCTCCGGTGGTTTCTGAGACTGAGTAGGCTCATATAGATGGCCTTAGGTCTACGTACGACATTCCTCCCTATGTTGAGATGGTTCCGGCTGGGAGAGACCTCGTGGGGTCCATAGACCAGGATATTGTGCTTTTTATGTATATCCCTTTGTGATTGGCCACACCCTCCCTCTTCCTTTGTTAGCGAAGGAATTATGTCGGTTCTACGAGGTCTGCCCGACGTAACTATCTCCATATATGTATAAGATATTTCTAGTACTAGCGAGGTATGCGGAGTTGGTGGGGTGTGAAGTTGGCCTTCATCACCTTTTACATTTATTTTCCCCGAGTTTTCACAGCGGCACTATGATACACTTGAGGCATCATGGGTCCAGGGGACTTGTGGTCGGGATGGACGACCGGGCAAGCCGCAAATTTTGGCACAAATACTTCTTCATTAGAATCGAACACCTAGTGTCGGACCCTGCTGGATTCCCAGAGCGGTGGAACCATAACCGTAAGTGTTGGTACTCGTTGTTTACTTTCGTTATTTTCAATTTGGTACTTAATTATAACTTTCTTGTGTAGCTGTGAGGCGTACGCCTCGTCCCATTGTCGGTATCGAGGATTGGGTAGCCTGTGTACTACCTCACGTGGCGGGGACTCGAGATTGGCCTGCTTTCCTCAAACGCTTTGGGCCGAAGTTTCCATCCGATAAGTGTCCCCTTTATTTTGACCTTTGGCTGTTTGCTGTCGTTTATTGATGTGACATATTTGTGATGATAGGTTGTAGGGCTTCCAAGAAGAAGGCTCCAATCCCGTCCTTTCACCAGGCCTTCGCGTCGGCAGGGGTGCAGTTTGTCATGGCCGAGTCTATCCGAGGAGGCCGTGCACAATTCATACTGGCTAGAGACTCCTCTCGTGACGTCGTTGTGCGGGAAGAGATCTCCTCTTGACCCGTCTATCATCTCATGGATGAGCCTTTTAACGGGGATGAATCTCCGTCGAGTAAGAGGAGGAGGGTAGAGCTTGGGAAGGTTGTCGCCTCCGATACTAGAAAGAACGAAACTGATATTGCGGGGGAGGCGTCTTTGCCTAGGTCAGGCATAGGTGTTGTTCTTATGACGGATGCTATTTTGGCAAGGAGGTCTCCCCTGACCGAAGAAATATATCAAGTGGGATTTGTACGATCCGTCGAGGGTGGCGCATCGTCTACCGTCGGAGGAGGCGGAGTTGAGCATGTTGGGGATGTCAGTTCAGGTTAGGATGTCGACCCAGAAGATGTGCGAGCCTATTTGGAGCGGCATACTCACGTAGAGGTAAGGACGGAAGGCCCTGATCGACACATAGTCATCCCTGTGGACTATGATTTGTTGGCGAACTGCGAGCAGGCAGCATCAGCATTTCCCCTCTGTGCGTTGCTTCCGAGAGTGCGACACTTAAGGCAATGAGCGATGCAGAGCTATCATGGGGCGTCTCTGGCATGGCTCTGCAGGTAAATGATTCTCCTTTATTTTTACTTTTATATTGTTTTGTGTCCTTAACCCACTTTTTATTTTGAACTTACTTTGCATACTAGACCCTCATCATGGAGATCAAGCGTGAACATAAAGATAGGCGGAGGACGACCATATTTGGGAAGGTTTACTCTAAATATAAGGAGTACTGTACCAAACATCATTCGTTGGCTGATCTCTTCACTCAGGACAGTGATTTTCAGCTGTTCCGTGATGGGCTCAAGCAAAAAGAGAAATAGTTGGTGCAAAAAACCGAAGAGTTGAAGGAGCAGGACGAAGACCTGATGAGGGCCATTGCTTTATGCAGCGAACTTGAGGGGGCTCATAATGCCAAAGAAGATGAACTTAAGATGAGTAAGGAGGCTGTTGACCTTAGGGGTGAGATGAGCGCTAAGGCTGATGGATTGGCCCATGGTGAAAGGGATAGGACAACTGCCATCTCGGAGGTAGTGGCTTTGGAAAATGCCCTTCGTGTTTGTAGATCGAAGCGGGACAAGGAGGCGGAGGCGAAGGCACTCGAAACAGCGAGGTTTGAGGGACGTATCTGAGATCTGGATGTGGAGTTGTCCGTGTTAAATGATCAAGTTGTCGCTTTGAAAGCGGAGGATGTGTGACGGCAGTTGCAACTCTCTACCTCTCATGCTTTGACTGACCCTGTCATGCCACGAGATTTTTACGAGATATGGGTTCATGCTAAAGCTCAACTTGATGTGTATATATCTCTTCGTGCCGATGAGAAAGTATCTAAGGTAGAACTTCGAGAGGTGCATATTAAAGCACGTGCTGCTCATGAGGCGTATGGTTACGACCTCGGCACACCTGGCAGAGACAATGTCGATTATGATGATGTGCACAAGCTCACCTCCGATTCTTGGTACAATGAGAAGTATGCCACAGGGGGTGATGTGGCATAGGACTTGGTTGTATTTATTTTTGTTTTGTTATTTTTGTGGGGGCGTCCTTGAGCCCTTTGTAAAAAAAACTTTTGTAATATATTAGCTATAATTGAGTGGTTACTTTTTATTGTATATCTTTGAATTGTTTTCTTGTTGTGTTTTTCTTGTTGCGGGGGTGCCCTGGGCTAACCAGCGTCGCGTGATGTTTTAGCGTAGTCCTGACGATGTCATATGTCAAGTAATCTGCGTGTCGTCGACTATTGAATGATTTGAGCAAGGTCGAGCTCTTGCCTTTGGCTACGGCCTTTGTCGTGAGGGTGTTATTTCTAGTGAATGTCAAAATGTTGACACGTCGTGGTTCGATCAGTATCGAACTCTTTTCTATGGTGACGGCCTTAGCCGTAGGGGTATTATTTTGAGTTAATGTCGAAATGTAAACCCGTCGTGGTTCGAGTGGTATCAAACTTTATTTCTATGGTGACGGCCTAGCCGTAGGGGTGTTATTTCAAGTTAATGTCGAAATGTAAACCCGTCGTGGTTCGAGTGGTATCAAACTTTATTTCTATGGTGACGGCCTAGCCGTAGGGGTGTTATTTCACGTTAATGTCGAAATGTTAACCCATCATGGTTCGAGCGGTATCGAACTCTTTTCTTTGGCGACAGCCTTAGCCGTAGGGGTGTTATTTCAAGTTAATGTCGAAATGTTAACCTGTCATGGTTCGAGTGGTATCGAACTCTTTTCTTTGGCAACATCCTTAGCCGTAGGGGTGTTATTTCGAGTTGATGTCGAAATGTTAACCTGTCATGGTTCGAGTGGTATCGAACTCTTTTCTTTGGCAACATCCTTAGCCGTAGGGGTGTTATTTCGAGTTAATGTCAAAATGTTAACCCGTCATGGTTCGAGCGGTATCGAACTCTTTTCTTTGAACAGAGATCGATGGAGAGTGAAACGTTGAGTGAAATGCTGCTTTATTTCATTTATTGGAGTATTGTACATGTTAGTTTCATACATATTGGAGAAGTTTCCTTGTATCTAGTCCCTTCATCGTTCGGCTTGGAGACATCATCGACAGGCGGGGCGATGAATTATACTTTGAAATTTGAGACGTCCCCCTCGTCACCTCATTAACAACCTCCCCAGGAAAACCCAGTTGGGACAAAATCCAGGTGAGGGAAAAAGAGTACGACTCGGGTGGCGTCCTTTTTCAGAAGTGGAAGTATTTGAGGTGGGCGACATTTCAGTTGTTCTGTAGTAGTTTTCCCTCCATTGTTTCTAGTTGGAATGCCCCTTTGCTTGCCGTCGCTGTAATTTTATATGGCCCGTCCCAGTTGGTTCCCAATTTTCCTTCTTTTGGGTCTTTGGCCGCTTGTGTTTTGGCCTTGAGGTCATAGTCTCCGACTTTCAACGGACGTATTTTGGCTTTCTTGTTGTAGTACATTTCCGCTTGTTGTTTCTGGGATACCATTCTTACATGAGCCATATCTCTCTCCATTCCTCTACTTCGTCGAGGTCCTGTATTCTGCTTTCGTCATTGCTTGGTCCACTTTCATTGGAGTATCTTAGGCTAGGTTTTCCTACTTTAACGGGTATAACGGCATCAGTCCTGTAGACTAATGAATATGGCATTTTGCCTATGTTGGTCTTTGGCATGGTGCGGTAGGCCAATAATACTTCTAGTAGCAGTTCCGGCCATAGCCCTTTGGCATCCTCGAGTTTCTTCTTTAATATATTCAATATTGTTTTGTTGGAGGATTCTGCCTGACCATTGCTAGTTGGATGATATGGCGTGGAGAGTATTTGCTTGATGCTCCATTTGTCAAAGAACTCGATCGTCTTTTTTTCCGACGAACTGAGGTCCATTGTCGCAGCTGATTTCTTTGGGAATGCCGAAACGACATATGATATTTTTTCCATATAAAGGTGATGACTTCCTGTTCGAGTATTTGGGCGAACGCACCTGTCTCCACCCATTTGGAAAAGTAGTCAGTTAAAACTAAAAGAAAGCGTGTCTTACCTCGACCCGTCGGGAGGGGTCCGACGATATCCATTCCCCATTTGATGAACAGCCATGGCGAAGTGACGGAGTGCAGGAGTTCGCCCGCTTGGTGTATCATTGGTGCATACTTTTGGCATTGCTCACACTTCTTGACGTAATCCGCTGCTTCCTTTTTCATAGTGGGCCAGTAGTATCATGCCCGAATGAGTCATCTGACGAGGGCCCGGTTGCCTGTGTGGGTACCGTAGTGACCTTCGTGTACTTCTTCGAGAACTCGCCTTGTTTGATTTGGTCCCAGGCATTTAGCCAAAGGCCCACCGAACGTCCTTTTTTAAAGGTCATTGTTTATGAGGTTGTACCTGGCTGCCTGTATTCGAAGTTTTTTGGCTTCCTTTTTGTCTTGCGGAAGTGTTCCTTCCTGCAAATATGTTATGATACGGTTGTGCCAATCCCAAGTTATATTTATAGAATGTACCTCTACTTGGTCTATTGATGAGTGGAGGAGGGTGACCACGTTCTCCTTGGTGATATTTTTGGAAGCTGCTGCTAGCTTGGCGAGGCCATCTGCTTTGATGTTTTGCGCCCGCGGTATCTGATCGAGTCGGTATTCATCGAATTCTGGCAGCAGCTTATGGATTTCTGCGTGGTATTTCTATAGCCTTTGTTCCTTGATTTGGAAAGTCCCGGTAACTTGATTAACGACGAGTTGTAAGTCGCACCTGAAGATGATTCATCGCGCACCATATTTGAGGGCCAGTTTCAATCCTGCAATTACAACCTCATACTCAGCCTCATTGTTAGTCATTTCGGGGGAACTGGCGAATTACTTCGCCTGTAGGGACTTCCAGTACGAGTTCCAGTCTATATCCCGACGAATTAGATGCGCCATCGGTGTAGAGGACCTAGAGGTCGGATTGCCCAGGGGAGGTGCGAAGCCTTCTTGCTCGACCTCTGGCAATACTTTGGTATTGAAGTCGGCGAAGAAGTCATCGAGTACCTGCGATTTTATCGCTGTTCGCAGCTGATAGGTGATATCATGCTCACTTAATTCTATGGCCCATTTGGCCAATCTTCCCAATAGCTCGGGCTTATGTAAGTTGTTTCTAAGGGGAAAATTCGTCACCACCAATATGGGGTGACATTGAAAATATGGTCTAAGCTTTCGTGAAGCTACGACCAACGCCAGAGCTAGTTTCTCGAGGTGGGGGTACCTCGTTTCAGCGTCAATCAAGGTTTTGCTAATATAATAAATCAGGGATTGTGTACCTTTATTTTTGCGGACCAGAATTGCGCTCACTGCGACCTCTGAGATGGCTAAGTAGATCAGAAGGCATTCGCCTGGGTCCGCTTTAGCGAGTAGTGGCGATGAGAACAAGTACGCTTTTAGTTTTTCTCAGGATGCAATCTGAATTCCACTGAAGCCCGTTGTCCCGTCAATTTTTGCACCTGTTTTTTGCTGGTTAGTATTTTGGGTATTCCTTCGATGGCTTTGATCTGGTCTGGATTGACCTCGATGCCTCTCTTTGATACCAAGAAACTGAGGAATTTGCCCAAGGTTATGCCGAAGGCACATTTTTCGAGATTTAACTTCATTCCATACCGCCTTAATATGCTGAAGGCCTATGTAAGGTAGTCAATGTGGTCCTCTTTCCTTTTGGTTTGACTAACATATCGTCGATGTAAACCTCCATTGTCTTACCGAGTTGGTCTTTAAACATTTTGGTAACTAACCTTTCGTATGTTGCCCCCGCATTCTTTAATCCGAACGGCATGACTCTGTAGCAGTATGTTCCTTGGTGGGTGTTGATACCCAATTTTTCCCCGTGTATTTTTTATATGTAAAATGCCTTTCAAATAGAATGTATATGCATATATAAGTATACCCCAAGGCTACATTTTTTCTTATTTTTTTAAAATTTTTTGAATCAATTTACTTCCCTATTTTATCAAGAAAAACCCAATAATTATCCCCAAAATTATCATCTTGGTGATTCATTTATTGGATTCTCATATTTTTACCAAAATAGCTAAGATATTTTTTACACATTTTTTACAAATTTATTTGGTATTTTTAAGGATAAAATTGCATAATT